TTCAGGAAGGCAAAAAGCATCATTTTAAAGTACAAAAATTCACCAGTATTAATTCTCTTACTAATCTGAGGGGCAACAATGGAAGAATAAACAAACTCAACAGTAGTGAACCTGAGAAAATCAGAGAAATGTATAAAAAGCTGGAATATTAAAGTAATGGGTTACAATCTGCACCATTTCACAATTCTACCAGCAATGGGCGAAGATGCCAATCACTCCACATCCTTGCCAATTCAAGTTGTTATCCCAGTTTCCTATCACAGCCGCACTATGGGGGTGAAATAGCATCTCATTAATTCCATTAATAATAAGATGTTTTAAAACACAACGTAAAAAATACTACAGCATGGAATGGATTCAATACAATAGAAGCGATTAACTTTGCTCAGCAGACACGTGGTGTTTTCCAAAGCTTCTGGCTTTTTGGGGTAATTCTATGGATTACTACGTAACCATGGGCAAAGTGCTTCATTTTTCTGAGCATCAGTGTCCCATTTAGAACAAGGAAGAACATGCCTGCTTTGCCTAATTCACAAATTTGTGAAGGGGGTCATATGAAAAAAAATCTTTCGTTTGTGTCGTTACTGCTAAAATTCTTAGTTCAGCATTGTCAAATAGAACTTTCCATAATGATGGAAATGTTCATTATTTATGATGCCCAATGGGGGAGGCACTAGCCAGATGTGGCTATTACACACACACAATTAAAGGGGGCTTCAAAAGGTTGGTAGAGAATTAGAATTTGAAGATCATGGAATTTTTCCACAAGCTCTACGGAGCCTCTCACAAGCTTTCGTGACTGAGAATGCACATTTAAAATTTCAATTTTTAAAAAGTTTTCATTTGAATAGCTTTATGTGGACACGGGGTATTGTATTTTACAGTACAGTCTTATTAGCTGTCTCTCTCCTCTTCCTTTAAGAACCAAGATAAGAATGTTAATAAATGTCAAGCTTCTCAACATACAATATATAAAATATCATTTGACCCAGCAATCCCATTCTCAGGTATTACAGAGAATTCAATGGGCACAACAGAGTCCATAAATAAAATGTTCTAAATCTACTTTGGTGAACAGAAATTATATTCTTAGAAACCTGTGTGCAGACATTTAAGACACAACTTCTGGACTCGGGACTCTTTCCATCCAAAGCAAAGAGGACTGAAGAAAATAAGACTCAAGGTAAGAATTAGTCCAAAAAATTAGTTCATATGGTCTCAAGCTAGTCCACAGCCTCCACTAGCTTGAGATGATAAGAACTAGCTAATGCCCATCTACCACAACCAACTGCTCCGCTAGAGAGCATAGCAGAAGGTCTTGGGCAGAGTGGGAGAAAAAGGTACCAAAAAGTTCAAAATATAAGAGACCAGACTTATCGCTCTAATAGGGACTGATGGAACCCCTGAGACTATGGTCCTTAGACACCCTCCAAACCTGGAACTGAACTCAG